GTCCGCGCGTTCCTTTCGGGCGGTGGCGATGCCGTCGGAGCGGTTCCGCCTGCAGACGGTGGAGGCCCTGCGGAGGAGCCGGAAAGGGCAGCTGCCTTACTGCCGAGACTGGCGCCCCGACCAGGAGGTGAGGTTTCCCCTTTCCCCCCTCCCCCGGGAACCTTTCCCGTCCGCTGGACTACAACTCCCAACATCCCCTCCCCCGGCGGTGGCTCCCCCGGGGGCTGCTGGGAGTTGCAGTCCCAAGAACAGCTGGGAAGCTGGTTTCCTTCCTCGCCTTCTTCTTAGAGAGCAGTGATTCCCCAACCTTGGGCCTCCAGATGTTCTTGGACTACAACTCCCCGAAGCCTTGACCACCCCCCTCTGCTGGCCAGGATTTATGGGAGCTGGAGTCCAAGAACATCTGGAGGCCCCAAGGTTTGGGGACCACTGCCTTAGAGAGCAGCGCTTTCCCAACCTGGTGTCACCCAGATGTTCTTGGACTACAACCCCCAGAAAAATCCAGGCTGGTGGTCAAGACTTGTGGGAGTTGTAGTCCGAGAACAAGATAGGGCAGCCCTGCCTTATAGACCTGTTTTATCTACAAACCTTCCTGAAGGAGGAATTCTGCTTTTCTTGGTCAAAACGCCAGCCCAGCGGTGTGTCACATCCTCTGAGGTTTTGTTCCTAGGTTGGGTGGGTGGGTGGATGCTTCCTGGCTCTTTGTTTTTGGATGGGCAGGAGAGGCAAGGATGATCAGAGGCAGACAGGTTAGAGGTTGCCTTCCTGGCTCTTTGTCTTTGGATGGGCAAGAAAGGCAAGGATGATCAGAGGCAGACAGGCTGTGTGTCTTTTTTTAGAGGTGGTTGGATTCTGTATCTCATCATTCCCCATGCTGGCTGGGGGGGGAGTGATGGGAACAGGACTCTGATAACATCCAGAAAGCTGTACATTGTCCTTCCAGGGCTGAGGACATTTATCGGGAGCATATTAATGGTGATGATGATGATAACAACAATAATAAAAAGCAACCTTTGAACTGCAGAATGATGATGATGATGATGATAACAACAATAAAAAAGCAACCTTTGAACTGCAGAGCATTGAGTCCATCCCCTGTCCAGGAGGCCGAAGTGGGGAATCGAACTCCCAACCTCTGGCTCCAGAGCTAGCTTCCCCATATTAGATGAGCGAGTCTCATTATCTACCCAACAAGGCTCAAATCCATTGCCTTGATGCAATGAATCTCTTATGGTGTTTTTAGGCCACTGTTTTCATCCCAGATCAGGTGAGAATTAAGGTTCTCAGTCCTTAAAAAAAATCAACAAGATCCTTCCTCATTTCCTGTTCTAGATCAGTTAATGGTCTGTAATTCCTTCAGCAGAAGATGCTTGCTTTAAAGAATACTATGGTCTGTGCTTAGGTGATTTTTTTTTTATCCTAGGAACTTCTGGAAGAATACAAAAGGCCTCCACAGCTGGCACCCTACCCTGGCTGGGTGCTGGAAAAAATACTTTCCCATTCTCCAAAGCCCACACCGTCTAATGAGTCGACTCTCGTCCATGGCTTGTCCTCCCTTTCGCTCGACACGCCGCCTGCCAACCAGCCGGTCTCCACACCCCTGTCGACAGAAGCCCCGAGTGAGACGCAGGTATCCCAGGCCGTCTCTGACGATCGACCGTTAACCTTCTGAGATCTGCAGCTTGTGACGGGCAGGGACGCGTGCAAGGGGGAAACGGAATCACTGGGTCCTCAAAGAGGGAAGACATATCTAGGGTGTAAATGTGTCTCTGTTGGCGTCGGGCCAAAACTCCAGAGGCTTAAAGGAGGCCCTGGCCTCAAGAAAACGTCTTAGAATGTGAGGCTTGGCAAGAGCGCTCTGTTTGAAAGACAATCCTTGAAAACTAAGGACGGTCGTTATACGGAGCCTCTTATCAGACTGCTTCCATTCCTCCCACTTAAATTTAGCAAAGTAAGAGACTTAGACGTGGGGAAGAAAACGATATGAGAGATAGTGATTATGGTATATTGGGTATGGACAAGGCAATATACATTTGGCCTAACAGCATTCAGAGCAATAGTTACATAGAAGTAAATGACCACCAGACTTATTGCTGACTGGCAAAGGTCTGTTCTGTTTCTGTTACCTTTATACCCAGAACAACCAATCACATTTCACCATTATAGCTGGTCTTGCTTAACAATCAAGCATGACATCAGCTTGTTTCACCTTTTAGTCATTACACCGGCTTTTACTCTACATCTGTGAATCTGCACTTCCATTACCATATTAAAATTGAACTTCCTGTTCACCTAAACAACAAAAGCCTGAGCACTTCCATTACCATATTAAAATTGAACTCCCTGTTCACCTAAACAACAAAATCCTGACAGTCTCAGCTGATTTTCTGTTACTAAATAGAAGCATTTGTACTTGGATCTAAGACTACCACGGAAAACCTGGGATTTCTAGGCAGGGTTTCGAAAACATCCTGCCTGCAACTAGAAAAGAAGGTCCTTTCTGTTCAATCAGACTTTTTGTTTCATTTTGCCGTGTGTAGGCAACTCTGCCTGGCAGCCATGGTTCCGCAGTTTCCAGACGGATCCATTCCCAGCCCTCCCTGGAGCTTCCTGCTATTCCCTAGTGGTCTCCCATCCAATCACTAACTACTCTCAACCAATTTGTTTTTCCTTCCTTCCTTTTTTTGGGGGTGGTGGTGGTGGTGGTTATTGTTATCGGTTGTAATATTTCTATTTTCATGTTCGTTTTCTGTGTTGTGAGTTGTAACCTGCCCAGAGTAGTGCTGTGACACTAATGGGCGCGGGATACAAATTGGCCAGAGTAGTGCTGTGACACTAATGGGCGCAGGATACAAATTGGATGAATGAATAAATAAATACAGTGGTGCCTCGCATAGCGATTGCTCTGTTTAGTGACAACATAGCTTTGTGACATATTTTTTGTGATCACTTTGGGATGTTCCCTATGGGGGAATTTCGCTTTGCGATGATCAGTTCCTGCTGGGGGAATTTCGCTTTGCGATGATCAGTTCTTGCTTGGGGAACCGAGCATCGCAAAGTAACGATTTTAAAACAGCTGATTGGCGGTTTCAAAATGGCCGCCGGGTAAACAAAATGGCCGCCCGCTGTTTTCTGGGACGGATTCCTCGCTTAAGAGGCACCGAAAATGGCTGCGCTATGGAGGATCTTCGCTGAACGGTGAGTTTTAAGCCCATAGGAACGCATTAATTGCGTTTTAATGCATTTCTATGGATTTTTTAATTTCGCATTGCGATGTTTTCATTCTGCAGCGATTTTTGCGGAAAGAATAAATGTTGCAACGTGAGGCACCATGAATCCTGAGTCTACCTTCTTACTTGGTTCCTTGTTTTCATTCTGCAGCGATTTTTTGCGGAATGAATTAAGGTCGCAATGCGAGGCACCATGAATCCTGAGTCTGCCTTCTTACTTCGTTCCTCTTCTTGTCCGTCCAGGATCATGAGGAATGGAGAGGGTTGGAAGAAAACCACGACAAAGCCCAAACCGTGTGTCCGCTTTCCAAAGCCACAGCGGTAGAGGGCCTGATTCGGCTGCATGAGAAAATCCAGACGTTGAAGTCTAAGGTAAGTGCAAAGCCACAGCTGAAGAGGCGACTGCAGTTTAAGTAGCAAAATCTTGCTTGAGACGTCTAGGGTGAGAATGTCAGATGTCTTGGTCAAGAAACGTTGACCCTGCGTTTGTCCCAAAGGTATTACTTGGGAAAAGAGGAAAAATGCTCCCACCTTTTATCTGTCCCAAAGGTATTACTTGGGAAAAGAGGGAAAATGCTCCCACCGATAAAAGGGTGACCGTTCTTGTCCGTCATCAAAGCTTCTCTTTGCGTGGGTATCAGGTTTTCTTTCTTCCTTTTTTCCTCCCTGATCTACAGGAGCATATCAAGGAGCGCTTGGAATTGCAGGAGCTGGTGGTGAAGGCTGCCTCCGAGGAGGCGAGGGAGCTGCTGAAGCGCTTCGATGAGCTGAAGGCACTCAAGCGGCACCAAGAATGCCAGCACCTGCAGCAAGAGCTGGAGAACAGGTGGGTTGGTGCCAGCCCTGCCCTCTTCCAGGGGGAAGAGCTTTGTTGGACTGAAGCCGTTCGTGGTCTCCGCTCATCAGGCAGAAAGTCTCAAGGCTGGGCTGGGATAGGCGGCCGCCGGGAGGAGAGATGAAGCCTTTTCCTGGCCGCCTTTGTCCGTTTTGGGACCCCCCCGTTTCCCAGCGGCTGCTTCTGCTTATGTTTCAGCTCCAGGGAAGCCCAGGGCCAACAGGAGAAGTTGAAAGAGGAGCACCGACGCAGAGCAAAGGTCTGGATCTGTGCGTGGAGGGTGCCCTGCCCAGCAGAAGAGTTGGCAAAGCCAGGAGATGCCCTCGGAGCCCTCTCCTGCTCCGACTGGGGGGAGCGCAGGGTGTCAGCCTGCCGGGACCCAAGATGGGGGCCCACCCTGGTCCGTCTCTCCCCTCTTCCCTGTCTTGTCTGTCAACCAATGTGTAGGGACCCCTCCTGATCAGGATCTCAGTCCCTGTTGGCTGTGAGAATAGGAGAGATGGAAACCCAGAAATCCCTCTTTACTGTCCATTCTGTTTCTTCCCTGGAACGTTAAAGCTTCCGTCCTTCCTGCCAACAGCTCTTGAACCGGAAGCTGCGCGAGGCCGAGGAGCAGCGCCAGCGGCAGGAAGAGCTGGACCGCCACCGCCGGGAGGAGAGCCAGGAACGCCTGCGCCGCCTCTACTCTATCCAGGAGGAGGTTTTGCGCATCCACCAGCAGATGGGTCTCCATTCCAGGCCCAAAGACTTGCCCGGGATGGACCTCTCGCTCTACAGCACTCGGGCAAATCAGATCTGCGGGGAAGTCTCGGGGATCGTTCATCTGGCTAACGAGGTAAAGGGCCTGCCAGAGAGAGAGAGAGAGAGAGAGAGAGAGAGAGACTTTCTCCAGAATTTTCAATGCAAGTGCAATGCGAGGAGAGAGAAAAGAGCATTCTCCCGATTCCCTTCTTCCCAGTGGGTCGTGCGGTGAAATCGTGACTTTGTCCCTTCCCAGGCCTGTTGTACCCTCTTGGATCTGAGTTCCAGATCTTCGTGCCTTTAAATCCACGGTCTCGGATGTCTTAGACCTCAAGGACGTCCACGCTTTGCCCTCCATCGCTGCCCTGAGTTTGTTACCGTCTAGCCTGTTGAAGGCGCCTGGAAAACTCAAAAGCTTGCATACGTTCCCTGGCTTCTCAGCTGGCGAACGGCTGTTCTGCCCAAACAGGGCAAGCTGAGCAGCCCTTGGATCTCGTGTAGTGAGGGCTCGTTGGAAGGCTTACCCCCCCCTCTGCTTTCCCTTTCTCCTGTTTCGTGGCAGAGAGCGTTCCCCGCCGAGGCAGACGTGGTTGCAGCCAACCAGGCACTCCTGGAGATGCATCATCTGGTTTCGAACATGCAGCAAGAGATTGCGCTGGCTGCGGAAGAGAAGAAGAGGCGCGATGCGGAGTTGGCGGCGGCAGCCACAGCGGCGGAGGCGGCGGCGGCAACGGCAGCAGCAACAACAGCGGCGGAGCAACAGAAGAAGGATAAACTGCAGAAACCGGAGCTGGCGAAAGCCCAGGTCCCAGATCATGGTGAGCGTGGTGGAGGGAAACCATTCCCTGGTACGATCTGCATCAAGGATGTCAGACCACAATCTGCACCCTCTCTGGCCCACTTGGATATTGGGTTACAGGCGGGAAAAAGGTTCTTGTTTTGGGGGGCCTCCTCCCAGAATGGGCTATGGTGGCAGACTATTAGGGGAGAGCAAAAGGGAGAGGTGCTTTCCCCATTTCTAGCTAGCGTTCGCCCCCATCAATTTCAGTGGCTCTGTTTTTTAAGTACAGTGGTGCCTCGCTTAACAAGTGCACCATTTAACGACGAATTCGCATAGCAACCCGTTTTCTGCAATCGCATTGCGATGTTTAGAAAACAGCTGATTGGCAGTTCCAAAATGGCCGCCAGATCAGCAAAATGGCCGCCCGTGGCGTTTTCGCGCCCTGCCCTCGCTTACTGGGTGGCGAAAATGGCGGCCGGATTGAGGATTCCCCACATAGCAGTGAGTTTTTCCCCAATAGGAATGCATTAAACAGAGTTTAATGCGTTCCTATGGGGTTCCCCCCCCGCATAGCGACGAATCCGGATAGCGACGTTAATCCTGGAACGGATTAACGTCGCTATGCGGGGCGCCACTGTACAACTAAATCTGAATTCACAGTGTGATGTAGCGGATAGAGTGATGTCTAGGACTCTGGAGAACTGGGTTCGAATCCCTGCTCAGCTATGCAAACTGACTGGGAGAGCGGTGGTACTGGGAGAACCACTCCTTAAATATCTCACTTACCCTGAAAAGTCTGTTTGGGTCACTAGATGTCGATTCTGACTTGACAGCAAAGAACACACACACACATCTAGATCCACGGAAGGCTGCTTGTGTGTGTGGCTTTTGAGGGCTTTCCCTGAGTGTAACCTGGGCTCTTTCTGCTAGCGTGTCATTTTGTCCTTTCCTAGGGCTTCAGCTGAAGGCGGAAGAACAGACCATGCAGTGGTACGAGCAACTGCAGAAGGAGCGTGAGCAGTGCGTCGCTTCCTTTACTGAGCTGGCAAACAGCAAAGACAGTCAGGTGAGAACACCCCAAATTTCATGAGAACTTCATGCAGACGTACAGAATGTAGAGTTTTGGGGTTTTTTTGTGGCCGGCAGACCAAGATCAGTTGACCTTCGTTGTCTGAAGGACAATGCAGTCCCGGAGGCCTAGCTTGTGCTGAGGTTGAAATATGCTACCTAGACCTTCCATTTTGGAACTGAGCTTAATTGCAGATCTTCATAGCTTAAAACTTCCACCCCAACATTTAGCTTTTTAAGCCCTCTCTCCCTCCCTTGCAAGCGACTCAAAAGCCTTCATTCCCGGCAGGTTTAATAATTAGATTGATCAATTTTCAAGTCTGGTTTTAAGGTTTTCCCTTTTGGGGGGGGGGACCTATAACCTCCTGAAAACTAGGCAATGCCCGGCTGTGACTGTTTCTTTCTTTTTAAAGGTGAAAAAGATTAAAATGGATCTACAGAAAGCTGCTACCATCCCTGTTAGCCAGATTTCTACTAGAGCAGGTGAGTGTTGATCTTGGACCATTCAAGGTAGTTAGATGGGCAGCGGGATCTTTTGGCCACAGCGATGACACCATGTGGATAACATGCCTTAAGCTGCATAGATTGGAGATGTTAGCTTGGGAAAGTTAATTTTGGGGTCTGTGATTCCCCAGATCCTGGCCACTGGCTGAGTTAATTTAGGCCTTCCTGACTCCTGCATAGACCCGCTTGGTATTTAAGTTCTAGTCCCAATGTTCTCTGCTTAATAACATTTGTGATGCTTTTTTGAGTGGCCAGGTGTGTGGGTCCTCTTTTTCTTTCAGTGGTGACGCTGCAGCCTGCTCTCTTAATTTAAATATATCTAGCTCCTTATTTCTCTGTTTTTTAAAAAAAACTTAAAACCACTCTTTTCTTTCCATAGGCCTGAAATATGTTTCTTGCTCGTTTTAGCTTCTTTAATTTCTGAACATTAATTGGAAAGGCTGTTTCTCTCGGATATTCCAGAGCAACTGAAGGAGTCGTTTGAACTTATCACAGACATTTTTTACCATCTTGTTATCCCTTACATGATCTGATTTTTGGATATGCTTCCGAAATTATCCATGCAAGAACAGAAATGTACCTTTTTGGTTGCTAAAACAATCACCGTAATACGTAGTAGCAGCCAACAAGATTTAAAATGAATTCCTTTATACAGTGGTGCCTCGCTTGACGATGATAATCCATTCCGTTGAAATCGCTGTTAAGCGAAATCATCGTCAAGCGAATTTTAATAAATCTATTGAAAAACGTTCAGTGCGTTCCAATGGGCTAAATACCTGCTCGTTTTGCGAAGATCATAGGGCGGCCATTTTCCAGTGCCTGTAATTTGTCCTAAAGCACAGCGGGTAGCCATTTTGCACAGCGGGCGACCATTTTAGAGCCGCCAATCAGCTGTTTTAGAATATTCGTCTAGCGAAAAATCGGTACCCGAAGCAGGGAACTGATCATCGTCAAGCGGATTTTCCCTATCTAAACATCGTTTTGCAATTGCTATTGCGATCGCAAAAACCACATTGTAAAGCGGATTCGTCGTTTAACGAGGTAATCATTAAACGAGGCACCACTGTATCCTAGAATCTTTAGAATTCCTAGAATCCTCCGGCAACTGTACAGGATTCTGGGAACTGCAGTCCAGAAAACAGGTCTGTCCTCTCGGATAGGGCAAGCGTGTCTGCCTTCTAAACTTTTTGACACCCATCTCCCCAGGTTCCCAGCTGAAAGAGATATTTGAAAAAATCCACAGCCTCCTTTCTGGAAAGCCCGTTGCCTGTGGTGGCCACAACATCTCCGTCACCCAACATCCTGAAGGTCTCGAGTTTGCTTATTTCAAACTGGCGGAAAAGTTTGTGGTAAGGAAAGCCCATTGGTTCTGCCCTCCCTGCAGATATATGTCGTTTTTCTCCTCCTCTTCCTCTAGCAAGTGGCTTCTTGGAAGCCAGACGGGGTTGGGGGCACCTCTGAGAATGAATCAGAAGGGGCCCCCGATCCTGATGTCTTTTATCTCTCTCTTTTCTGTAGAAACAAGGTGAGGAAGAAGTGGCCTCCCATCACGAAGCTGCTTTCCCCATCGCTGTGGTGGCTTCGGGTATCTGGGAGCTGCACCCTCGGGTGGGCAGCCTGATCTTAGCTCATTTGCACAAGAAGTGTCCTTATGCCGTCCCATTCTATCCGGCCCTGAAAGAAGGAACTTCCCTGGAGGAATATCAGAGGTAATTATGTTGAACGGCCAAAGACATCCGGCCTATAAAGTGGCTGACCCACAGGCACAGAGGTCCAGTTTTATTCTCTCCCCCCCCCTTTATTTGCTTCTCAGACACAACTTGAGTATTACGTTTTAGTTACACTTCCCTTCCTTCCAGCGAGCACACCTGCTGCTCTGTATCCCTACTGCTTGATCCTTGGTGGATTTGGAATGGGGCGGATTGAGCTGTGCTTTGGCTCCAACTGAGCTCTGACCACAGGGGTTCGTGGTCTTGCACTAACGCGACTTACCCGTTGTCTGGCACGCAGGACGCTCGGGTACAAAGTGAAGGATTCCACGGTGGAGGCTCAGGATAATTTCCTGAAACGGATGTCCGGGATGATCCGCCTCTACGCCGCTATCCTTCAGCTCCAGTGGCCTTACAGAGAGAAGCAAGGGGTCTGTGCCTTGTCTCATTTGGGGAAGGGGTTGGAGACTCCAGGGGCTGGATGGGCATCGGATGAGTCTCAGAATCGGGAACTTGGAAGGGGCCTGTAAGGCCATCAAATCCAACCCCCTGCTCGATGCGAGGACTCAGAAGGCCTGAGTTCGAATCCCCGCTTAAGCCATGGAAACTCACTGGGGGAGTGGAACTAATAAAAACACTCCTTAAATAGCTCACTTACCCTGAAAGCCTTATTAGAGTTGCTATGAGTCGGTTCCAGACTGACAGCACAGAAGGACGACAACACAGCAAGGAAGCCCGGGTTCACCACCCCCATGGGGCTGGCTGCTTGGTCGTACTTCGAGGACACAGAATCCACACTTGAACATCTTCTCATCCCTTTTTAGACTCATCCCCACGGGCTGCGCCACGCCTGGCGCTGGCTAGCGCAGATGCTGAACATGGAACCTTTGGCCGATGTGACGGCCACCCTTCTGTTTGACTTCCTGGAGGTAGGTCGTGATTCAAACCCATGTGGGT